AATGAAATAAGTTATCGAATCGTCTCTGACAACTATCACTCAATAGAGAGAAGTTGGATAGAGGTAGGGCATGTGTCAAGAAGCTTTATCCTTAAGTCTGTATAGTAAGATGAGGTTCTTTATCACATTCGGTACGCTCTCAAGAGGTGACGACTCATCTCTCGATAGATCGTCCTCTTTCTGATGATGGCTTGTTTGTCAATCAATCAGAGATATTTTACTCAATGGATTTGTGATCTTTTTATCGTCAATCATTTAGTAATTTTAGTAACAATACTCTACGAATCACATTGACGAGAATTTTGTCGATGATCTATTGATTCTGGTGACTTAATCATTCACCAACGATTTGTAGGAAAATCGTGATAATCAAATAAAAATTATAAGTTTTGGCTCTAGGAAGATTCAAACCCACGTCGGTTATTCGCTTGTATGAGAGAGATTAACATAAGTATTCTGATGCCCTTTTCAAATGATGTCATCATGGTATATTTTTATTATAAATAAGGGATATTGTAGATATTAAAATCATCGAAACTTTTTTGAGAAAAGTGCGACGTGGGTTTAGTCTCACATCACTTGTGTGATAAAGCTTTAGGTGAATATATAGTAATATTATATTTACAAATAAGTCATTTTCTCTCATGTGTACGACCACTCTTTGCTTCACAACTGATTGACCACTAATGACGTAGAAGGGGAGTGGTGTACACACACCTCTATCAATCTTAGTTGTTCGAGCCTTTATTCGTGGCTCCTCCCCGACTGTGCTTCCAACCCGCTTGTGAGCCTAGTTGGCCAATAAGTCCCCTCTATTTTGTTATATTTTTATTTTTATTTCTTTTTCTTTATTTATCTCAAAAATAAGACTAAAATTTATATAAATTTGTAGAAAATTACATTATTGCCTAAAAATTCGTATTAATCAAATGAAAACCACTTTTCACACTTTAACATAAATATAAGTCTATTTATCATGAGTTAAGACTAAAACTATATTATTTTATAATTATTAACTCATGATAATGAAGACTTATCACCTTACTAATTAGATAAGTTAAACAACATTTCCTCCCATTAATAACCTCATTGTATCTACATTGTGGCAAAAGAGCAGATTGAGAGAGGTTCAAAAGTTATTCTCAAAGCATGATAATTATCTATCAAAAGGTTAAAAACACATTAAGATTATAATTAAACCTATTTATTGGGACAGAGATAAAACCACTAGATATAAGTGTATCTCTAGTTTTATCTAATACATATAGCAACAACCTAAAAACATTAACTAGAGTATTAAGGTTGATCTCTTGTGGAACATGATAGTCTTTAATAGGCTCTTCAATGAGTATTTAGGTCCAATCCCATGTAATTAAGGTGTATAAAGATGTTTTGGTGTAGAACTATAAGGTGAAATCTTTTGAATGAAGCTTGATGTATGTAAGATTGTGGATGTAGGACGTTTCTCCAAATCGTGTAAGTAAGATGTATTCCTTATTCTCATCATTCTGTTCCTCCCCCTCTCTTGTGTGTCATTTTGCATCAAACATCCATCATACAACCAAGGGGAAAACAATTACATTTCAATCCATAACATGAACAAATCTAGGAAGAAATGGGGGAACAAAGTGTTTAGTAGTTTTTTGATAATGCCCATATTAAGATAGTGAATTCAAAGAGGGGACTATGTGAAGTATCCCTATGAAAGCACATAAAATGTTTATATATAGATTACTTTCACTTCATATATATTTATATTTTTCATATATTTTTTACTTTATATTATTGCAAGAGTGTATCCTAAGCCAACCACAATTATTCAAGAGAATCTTTCACATTCTTAGGAAGTATCACAATAGAAGGGTAAATTAAGTGATTGTGAGTTAGGGTTGGTTTAGGAACCTTCAAATCTAAAATAAACTTAAAGTGTGTGGTTTGTAAAATTCAAACTTATAATTTTTTCATATTGAATTATAACTATACACATTTTTTCCTTATTTTTTTTAAAAGATGAAATCACAAGTACATAAATGGTAAATGCCACTATAACAATTTCTAGTTACTTGCATACTTCTTGTAATTCCTAACTTCCTACTTTTAATAAACATAGTTAATGCACATTTTCTCACAAGTAACTTACAATATCCCACATGAAGTGATTGACCATGACAAAAATAGGCAAAACATGTCATTGATATAAATATAGTACTCTTTTATTGTACTTTAAGCATTGAACGCTTGAGACACATGCTTTCTAAAATATTGATGACTACATGGTTATAGTTATGTCAATAATGCCAAGATCAAGTGATACAAGCAATTTATGCTAAATACATTTAAAACATCTACAATGGGAGTTAGGGAACTGCACACCATGGTTTATGTCATGGTGTATCATTTAATAGAGCTTTCAAAGATGTATGGGTGTTAGCTTGGTATTGTTTTCATATTGCAAGCCTTATTTTCAACAAATGTGACTCTTTGATTTTGTTAATTTTATAGGAATTTTTGTATTGATAAGTCACCTATCTTATGTTTTTTTTTTGTGTTATATATTTTTTAAAGTTTTGTTATGTAATTGTATCCATTTTACAACAAGTATGGTTGAAATTTCTCAATTGATTTTTTTGCTTTTGAGATTAACTAGCATATAATTGGCAATGAGTGATGATCAGTACATGTATAATTAGTAGTGTATTATACATTACATCCATTATCAATACATGTATAATTAGTAGTGATATCCTAGTAAGCATGTAATCTTTTATTTTTATTTGGTAAATACCTATATTATTATTTTTTCAGAAAATCTACCGCCATTGTCAACAAAAAAATATTTTGAAGGATATTCTTTCAAAAATATTGTAGTTTACATGATCTACAATGGCAAGTGGAAAGATGTAATTCTTGTCCCTGAATCCAGTGGATTATGAAGAGTTAAACCCAAAAATGATATGATGATGATATTACACAGTTTATGCATTATTTTCTCACTATTGGTGTGGCTATTAAGTCGTATTTTCGTCTTATCAGGTTTTTGAATATTTTTGATTGTTTTGTAGTATTTTTGAGGGAGATGATCTAGATGTGTGTTGTGTGTGTTTGTGTGTGTGTGTGTGTTTGAGGGAGAGACGGAGAGAGGGAGAGAGAGAGATCAACGACGAAAAACTGTAAGGACCAGGCTCTGGGAGACTCAGTGAGCGGGGGTGTCTGAGCCCCAAGTGGCTTCTGTTCCACGAGGAAGAGAGGCAGCGAGAGAGAGAGAGAGAGAGAACAGTGACGAAAGACTGGAAGGAGACCAGGCTCTGGGAGACTCAGTGAGCGGGGGTGTCTGAGCCCCAAGTGGCTTCTGTTCCACGAGGAAGAGAGGCAGCGAGAGAGAGAGAGAGAGAGAGAGAGAGAGAGAGAGAGAGAGAGAGAGAGAGAGAGAGAACAGTGACGAAAGACTGGAAGGAGACCAGGCCCTGGGAGACTCAGTGTGCAGGGATGTCTGAGCCCCAAGTTGGTTCTGTTTCTAAGAGAGAGAAGAGAGAGAGAGAGAGAGAGAGAGAGAGAGAGAGAGAGAGAGAGAGAGACGACCTACACAAGCAATCGATTGGAGGGGAATCAGACCCTGGTAGACACACTGAGTAGGAAGGGATGCCGCGGGGTTGGTTCTGTTTCCGAGAGGGAGAAAGAGAGAGACAGAGAGCCATGGATAAGCTCCTCAGTGGTTCTACTTCCGCGAGCGAGCGAGAGTGAGATAGAGAGATAGACACGCACACGTACACAGACACCTGCAACTCTCCGAAGTGTTTCACCGCTTCTCACTCGCGGTGACCGAGTCTTCACTGAATTTGACGCGCACCTACATGAAGTCAACGTTCCCTAACGATAAGCTCAAAACTATATGCGTACACCATCTTATCCTCGGGGAAGTATACAAACTGTATGGGCATGAATACCCATCAGCGGATCTGTATGAAGGCTTAATTTAGGTCAACGGGGGGGCTTGAATTCGCCAGATCAACCAATTGATGGTGAGCTGTCGTCACTCGAGCGGGGCTTATTTTACCCAATGAAGATGATACTTTCCTCTCCGACTTTAGAATTGTGCTATATAAGCTTAATTGGAGCTCACAGGACCTCAGATTTTACCAAAATATTCCGAAGTAATGGCATTAAATAGGGGAGTTGATGGATCGAGATGCGTGAATCCAGAGAGCTGGCGCGTGTCTATCCCCCAATTACCCACTTGGTTTCTCTCTCTTCACCTCTCTTTCTCTCTCTATGCTTGGTACCACCATGGATGCGGATATTAATTCAGAATATGTACTTAATTAGATAAGATGATCAGGGCCCAGTCCGGGGAGTCTTATTTATTATGTGCAGCGTGATTCTATTGGTGTGTGGTGGCTCCTTCCTCCATTTATGTCAGGGGATGGTTCTGATCTCGAGATTTGTCTCATCGGGTTCACGCCACGTACCCCGAATGCAAATTCCTGCCGCCGGCGCGGTGCGTGGCGGCTCGTGAATCGGTGGATGGTTGTCGGGTAGGCCCGCGGCAGTCCTCCTCTGGTACCGGAGCTATGCTAGTAGAGACCTCTGCCCCGTGGGAGGGGCGAAGAATCTCTCTTCCTCTCTCCTCTCAGCGTTTCTTCTTCACATCTTGCATCTTTCTCACGTTAGGGTTTTGTGGCCGTGCGTCTGCTCGCCTCCTGTCTCTCTCGAGATTCGAGCTCCTTGCTGAGTCTCCTATCCGCACCAGATCTGGGACTGGCAGGGTTGCTGCCTTGCCTATTATTTCTTGTTGACGACAGCTACCGTAGGGGTAGCTCTGGCCGCCGCAGCCGGAGGAGGGCTTCTTCCTCTTCTTCTTGTTCTTCTCCTTCTCGCCTCCCCTCGGCGCTCAAGTTCCCCCTGCTGTTCGTTTCCTTAAGCGAGGAATAAAATGGGGAGGGCCCAGAAAGCAGCTTCCCCGGGGGGGGTCTAGGCAGTTTTGGGCCCGGGAAGGTAGGAGGATGGGGGCCGGCCATGGCATCAGGGTCCTCTTCGGCGTGGTCTCACCCTTCCTCGCAGTCCTCCTCCTCTTCGTCGCAATGTACCACTGCCGGAATCGCTCCTGCAACGGCGGCCGCGACAGGCGGAGGCGGTGGCTGGGGTGGAGAGGGCGGCCGTCGGGGGAGAAAGGGCATGGGGGCGAGGGTGACGGCGAGGAGGAAGAAGCGGAGGCGGAGGAGCTTATAAGCTTTCCAGGAGGGGAGGATCTGACGGTCCACGCCATTCTCGACGCCCCCGGCGAGGTCGTGGGCAAGTCCAACTACAGTACCTTGTACAAAGCCTGGGTTGGGGTCAGCTGCAGCGACGACGGAGGCGGCGGCGGAGGGAGCGGGCGGAGGGGGTCGCTGATGCTACTGCGGTTCGTGCGGCCGGCCTGCATTGGCCGGACGGGGGAGGTCCTGCCGGCGGTGCAGCTGCTGGGCTTCGTGAGGCACCCCAATCTGGTGCCCCTACACGCCCTCTACGTGGGTCCCCGCGGCGAGAAGCTTCTTATCCTGCCCTTCTTCTCCGGTGGCTCTCTTTACCACTTCTTGAAGGGTTAGTCCTGTTCTCCTGCTCTTAGATGTCATCATTTAGAGTATCAGAGGAGAAACCTGGCTCGTTCTTCTTCCCTTCTCGAAGATGGCTTCATCACCTCAAACTGTCGTCCCCTCCTTCTTCTCCTTCCGATGAGCTTCCCTCTCCCCAGAAACCCATGAACCTGTTCGCCCATTGTCTCCCATCGTCCTTGGGAGAGAATCCAGCGAGAAACCTGGTTCAATCCGTCCAATTTGGGACTGGGTTCATCAGATTATGCCATGATCCTCCCTGTTTTCTTCGAATTTTTTTAATGACAGGCCTTTTGACATGCCTGCAGACGGGAGTAAGGAATCCTACCAGTGGGAGCTCATCCACCAGGTCTCAGTGGGCATAGCCGAGGGCCTCGACCACCTCCACAACGGTCTGCCGCGTCCCGTCGTTCACGGGAACCTCAAGTCGAAGAACATCCTCCTAGACGACAGCCGCCGGCCCCGCCTGTCGGACTTCGGCCTGCACCTCCTCCTGAACCCTAACTCCGGGCAGGAGATGCTGGAAGCCTTGGCGGCGGAGGGGTACAAGTCGCCGGAGCTGATGAAGATGAGGGAGGCCAGCAAAGCTAGCGACATCTACAGCCTGGGGATCATCTTCCTGGAGATGATCACCCGGAAGGAACCCAGCAGCGAGCTGGCCCCGCCGGCGAACCGCCGGTTGCCGAGCTCCATCTGGAATCCGGTGTTCGACGGGAAGGCGGCGGAAATGCTCTGCCCTGAGCTCCTCCGGCGATCGACCAAGGAGGGCTCCATTAAGGAAGATGGGCTGCTCGAGTTCTTCCAGCTGGCGATGGCCTGCTGCTCGCCGTCACCTCTGCTGAGACCCGACATTAAAGATGTCCGCAGGAAGCTTGCCGACATCGGCCGTCTCGTTCGCCCGCCGTCGTGAAAGAGAGAAAATATCGACGGTGCAGAGATGCGACGCCCCCATCCGGCTGCTTCAGCGGCGGCGGCGGCGGCGGCGTCGGATGGGAAAAACCCTGTTAAATCCTTGGCGCGGTTGCAGACGGAGAAGACGACCGGGCAGAGGACAAACGTTGAGGGGCGGGTGCAATTCTATCGGCAATACCATCACACCTCGCATCTTCTTCACCATTCCTTCTCTGTTCGACGGCTGCGCGGAGCTCCTGCCGTTGGGTGTCCTTCAATTTGCTGCATGAAATCATAATTAAATGCGGGTAATCATTTTTTACTACTACCATTTGAGTCCATATTACCCAAAGTATGGTTAGTCGAACGTTGACTCGAGCTGGACCAGAGCAGTCAACTCATCGTCTTGTCCGAACAGGCCCACCTACCCCTCCCCCCCTTTTCTGTCCGCGTCAACTCGCCCCGTGCCGACTCACGCCCCCTGACAGACAACGCCTCCGTACGTAATGAACGACTGAACTCACGAGCCATGGAGCAGCCATCGTTCATCCGTAGCTGCAGATGAGTACTCACTGTCCCTACTCGGCTGGTCCCCTCTCTCTCTCTCCCCCCGCAGGACCAGTTGCATGCAGTAGGCGTCTGATGGTTCCCTGCAGCTGAAGATGAAGCTGCTTCGAATGTCGGGGAGGCATATTAAGTCAAACTAAGTCAAACATCATTCTTCGCATCGTAAATGTCGGCATCAAGCTTTGATGTCAAACAGCAAGACTTAAGTCTCATTTGGGAAAAGATGGTCAGATCACCACACAAAATCGGCGCCAGAGAGGATAATTGTAGTAAATACCACTGCAATCAGTTAGGGTTCATCAGAGAACTGAGGCTGCTTCTGCAGAAAGCCATTTCCTGAGGAGGAAGGAGATAGATGCCAGAGGCCCAACTCACAGAACCCTGGTGATCTCTGCAGGAAACACCCTCGCACAACAAAAAAAGGTAGCTTTATTCAAGAATCTGAGGAGCCATGGTGAAATATAATGGAGAATACTCCCTCTGGGAGTCATTCATTCATTGCTGCCCAGATCATCTGGAGCGCCGCTTGATCCGTCTGGTGAAGAAGAAAAAGACACCTAGATGAGATCATGCCCAGATTTCAGATAGATCCATGGTCTGCAGATCGGATGGCTTGTACCTTCGCCTTCAGCGGGGGCATACACCGATCGTCTCAAGCGGACTTGCTGATGAGTGGGCTGAGCTCCAAAGAACCAGGGTACATATTCAGAGAAAATTACATTTTTTTTATATGATTGAAAATTATTTGAAGGAATGAGGTGGAAAAAAACCTGGAGTTTGGGTCGAAGCGCCTCAAGAGGCCCTTTGGGTTTCTCTGCAGGGGCTCCTTGCTGCGCGTTTGGCATCAAATAAAAGGTTGGAGAATAATATAATATTAATGTTCACCAGCAAATAAAGAAAAAAAGAAAAAAAAGGAAATTCTTCCTGGAATCTGAGGAAAATGTAGAGCTTCTACCTTTCCTAATGCCCAGTCAGCGGAGTCGAAGAAGGCTCGCTCATGATCCTGAATCGCAGGCGTTTTCGGACATCCAAACAGCCAAATGAGAATAGAGATAGATATACTAGGAGGTCTCTGATGAAAATAAAGTGCTCTTTTTGCCTCCACTTTTGGAATATAACTCAGATACCTTGGAAATGAGAGGGGGCTTTTTGGGTAATAGTCCCCCATATTTCTTCTTGATGGCTTTCTCCTGAGAAGAGGTGATTCAGGTAAATAATATGTTGACGAACATAAAATCCAAAATTAATCTAGCGAAAATATTTTAAAATGTTTCAAGGAAATAAGAGGGTAAAGAATCACCTCCTCTTCGTATGATGGGATAGGTTTTACCGCATCAGGGTCTGGGTGGTCTGAGGCATTTTCGAGGGCTCTGCTCTCTGGGTGCTCGTGCTCGTTCGCATCTGTCATCTTTATCTCTGACATACTGATATCAAGCTGTGAATAGCAGAGAGTGAGTGTCTTGAGGAGCTCTTTCAGAATAAGAAAGAAAGAGAACATTTCACAGAGAGATTACAGTGATTCGAAGATGGACCAAAAAAACAAATTAAATTATTCAACCATATACAAATGATGGCGAAGGTAGAAATAATAAAAATTTATTCGTCCGTCTATGACCACAAGAGAGCCGTATTGGGTAAATTCCAATTCAGCAAAAGATAACAAAAATCGTTATCCTAAGTATTTCAAAATAGAAATACAAATAGGAACAAGCTAATAAATAATAATTAGCTGGAGTAATTTTTGAAAAATATTAATTATCTAAGCTCTCACCCACGCACCCCATCACCCTAGCAACAAAATTTTGGAAGTAATAAAACACAAATGAATCAATAATCATGGCAACCTCCACATCAGTAGGAACACGGAGTGCATGAGGTCAATTTCCTTTTCTCCCCTTCTGCTACCTTCTGAACAGTAATAGTGCCTTGAAAGGGAACGGATATACCTGCCTCACCCTCTCGCTTTCTTCTTGAAAGGAAGTAGAAAATCATGTTCATAGACGAGCCGAATCTGGCTAGCTTTGGAGATTACTAAGCTCCAACAAATGTGAATGATACCCCCATTAAATATGTAAGCAGAGAATTTCCTACAATATTCGATCTTGGCAGTGAAAGAAACACTACTAAATTCCCCAAATTTGGCGTAGGCTTCTAACTGTAGGTATTTCTCATCATTTTGGATTTCTCATCTATAGACAGGCACGTCTGTACTCATCTCTGGATATTACTGATTTCTACCCAGAATCTGCTTTAATCTCATAGCATAGTCTCGAATTGTCAAGGACAAACTTGGGTTCTGGATGCCATTTATACAAGTAAAGCTAGACTGATTCTAGCGAGAAAGGACAAGAGTAACTTTGTGACACAATACGATAGGTTGTTCAAGACATGTTCAATAATATATATTACTCATTCTCATACGTTTCTGAATAGAAAAATTCCATGATCTCATAAGATTATGACGTTCAACAAATCTGCAAGGACTGATGAGTCAATGAGTTGCATTCATTCCACCGCGCAGGACATAATGTGTCAGGAAGTGGTGAAAATTTCCAGGCTGACCTCTCAAAACTCGTTGGAGTAGTATACTCTTCATTATTTCGTTCTGATAACTCACATACTACTAAATATTCATACTAACTGGACATAAATAAAATGTAAATGTTTGATTAGTTTTTTTTCTTGACAATGACAAGATGTTAAAAAGACAACCGCTGGAGAACTTATTGAGGAAGCAACACGATAGGCTGCATAGAATGAATTCATTTTGAAATGCTAATTAACATAGTGGAAATTTCCAAGCTACAGACTAATATTAAACATTAATATGCTGTTCTCCTTTCCGACGGACTGTCCATGGTACCGAAATTCGAAAAAAATGAAGAAAACAAATCGAGCATCCTCTAAGACGCGAAAAAGAGATGTCAATATAGAGATTAATTCTTATTTTCTAGTCCGCTACAGCACTGATTGATGATTTGCAAACCTCTCAATATTTCCACGCCAGCAGATTGCATACTTCATCAGATTTAGAAGACATGTAAGGCATCAGTTCCTCTAAACATAAATTTCACACATGAAATCTATTGCACACAGAAATCAACAAATATAAAAGCAAACTTTCAGGAAAGTATTCTCACACTTACATATCTGTCACTAACGTTGAACATCATAAATATTAACAATGGCAGAGGTACACGCACACACATGTTTCTGATATATACCAGAAAAAAATTCATCAAAATACATCTAATACTAATGGAGTGGCTATTCAGAATAACTTATATCGATAGATGTCGAATATATTAGGAAGTTTCTCAGTAATTGAATTCCAATACTAGATATGCTGTCTGGAAGAACCCTAAAAAATCTCGAAAAATTTACGGGGGTTTGTGTTGACACCGGCATATGTAGACGTGAATATTTTGTTGTCTCAGAATCGTTCACCAAAAAATACACGACGTACCACAGTGTCCCTCTGTCTCTGTGTGCTTTCCAGTAAAATAATATTCACGCCACAATTATCAGAAGGACAATTCATGCATCAATGACATCAAGCACTATGGGATGAAAATCCTGCTGAAACGTGCGCAAAGTTTCCAGATTTGTACGAGGGATTTAAACAGTCTGAAATGCTATACAGAACGCGGGACTAGTGCTAAATGATTCCAACATCAGATCAACCCCAAAATTCGGTCTTTCTTTCGGACAAGCTACAAAGAACCGGGTAATTCTCTTCCAGCTCAGCCACTGCCAAGTGGGAACACCAGAAGAAATGGCGCATATTCGCGCAGGCCAGCCTCCATCGTCTTCAGATCTATGGCGATCTCAACAACTGAGACAACAATCACGGCCGAACGAAAAAGAGGGAGGGACGGACCAGCGAGATTGAAAGGAAGACAGGATTGGGGGACAAATACGCTGGGAAATGGAATTCTTCACCTTCCCACACAAGCTCCAGGGAGCAGAGATCGATCAAGATGGAAGAATTGATCACTAATCTCTCTCCAGCAGCGCCGATTCGCGGACGGTGGGGTCTCCCGAGGGCGGAACCAACGGAGCTGAGAAGGGGCCGCCAGTCATCTCCTCGCCTTACGCCGGAGCCACCCTTTTAAGCACTAATTTACAATTTTACCTAAACCCACGTAGGCCGAAATGTTGTAACTGGCCTGGGTGGAATCTTAGATTGGACACCTTCAAGCCCAAACCCAACCCAAAACTTTCAGCCCAGCCCATTTTCCCTGGCCCAATCCTTTCTGAGATTCATCTTGAGCTCCGACCAGTTACACCCCCCGTTGACCAGTTCGTCAAAGGCAATCACAGTTCCGGGAGCAGAATGATGAAAAGTGGATCAAGGTCTTGATGAGTTCTTATTTGACTGAATTTTTACGTAAATTGATAATATTTTAAAGCACAAAATCAGTAATAAACAAACTAATATATCATTGCAAACTAAGAAAACATATCACATCATTTCATTTCATAAGTAGTTATTACCGGAATAAAATTTCATAATAGTTATTTAAAATAAAATATACCCATCATTGCTATGGTTCTACACCGAATTCATCAGCGTCCTTGGGCAGAAGAACCTAAAAATATACTTAAAAAATATGATTTAAATTTAGTATTATGTCATGTCAAGATAAAAAGGTTTAATTAAATAAAAATGATATATTTTATCAGTAAATTTGAAAAAAAAAAAGAGGAGAATTCACAAGTCACAATGTCAAAAAATTTATGGGAAATGCATGTTTACCTATGAAGCTGGTCATTATTAATGAGCTCTCCAATATAATTAACTTCAAATGCCCAAACACACACACACACACACACACAAACCCAATGTTGATGACATTACTAAAATACTTATAGTCCTTAAAGTCCAATGTGATGTTCATTTTTGCATCTTCACCATTGAGACCTGGCCTAAAGTAATGCATCCCTTTCAATACCCCTACAATGTTCTATTGTGAAACAAAAAATCAAACATTGTTAATTTATTTAAATAAATTGAAAAGAATTATATAAATAAATGCATTAAAAAATCATACATGTATAAACATTAACTTCAGGGCCTTTTAATATGTAGAGTTTTAGGTTTCCAAACATCAAGATATAGCTACTAGCTATCTTTTAACATGTTTTATAATTCTAAAAATATAAACATGTTACACTTTCTCTTACTTCAAGTAAAATATTACAATTTTATTGCATAGAAATGTGAAGAAAAATGTATTAGATTTTCAACATATATATTGGGATGAACGTAATTAAAAAAATGTCAAGAATATCAACGATGAAGTTTTTTAGATCTTATATGTTTTCCCAATGATTGGTAATTATTCAAGTATAGTTTTTGAATTGTCACTAAAATATTTTATTATGGAAGATAGTTTCATCAGATGATATTTAATTTCTTACATATATAGTTTTACCAATTTTATTAAATTAAAGCACTTTAAAACATGATTTTTTTCTTTGATCAACATTTTTGCATCCCTTCTTGACCTGATTGGTTTTCCTTCACAATATGAGCTCACAATATCTAACTTCGACAAATATATTAACCTTTCATTTTCGTAACATTACAGCATCATCATCTTGCAAGAATTATCATGACACAGTATTTACACTCACAACCATCTCATTATCAAATGGTTGTATATTTCACATTCATAGCCAAAAACCTCTATTAAACACCATATTTAACCTTGATAGAACTATTTTTTCGAGTGGAGCTATATGCACACTACCATACACAAACATGACAAAGATAAATATAATGTTTGGATCCTCCCATGTATCATGCTAAATAATCATTTAAACTTGGTACTTGAAAACATAACACAATCATATTCTCTTAAACCAAACTTGAACTCTTTTTTATTAATCACTTAACCATAAATATAAATTATCATTTTTCTATTCAAGGAGACTTTTCTATAAGAAAGTCAACATGCAAAATAGTTGTTGGTTTCTCCCATGAAATGTTTAGTTGAATAAAAGTATTTTTGGGATATAAATCAGGCAACATTGAACCCTAACAAGAGCACTAATCTCTAAAAGTTATGTAGAAGTTCACACCTTCTACAATTATGTAGTGATTTTAATTATAAAAATCACATTTGCATGCTTTTAGAAACGTTATTGAACTTCAAATATTGACAAGAAACATCAACTATATAAGAAACATCGTCATAAAAATCTAAAAAATTTGCCGTTATAAGCTTATTAACTTCATGTTTACTTTCACGATGATACATTAAACATCTTATAATCATACTTCACGTGTTTCACTATAGAAATAAAACATATCATCCATTTTTAAGTATAGTTTAGGGAATAAACTTGCCATTTGTCACTTATGCCAAGGCTTCCAATGCCTACACGAGTCAATAATAAAATAGTAGAATTTCTTGA